ATAAAAAATGGTTATTGTGGGTTATTCCTAAGAGATAAACATATACCATCACGGACTTTTTTGTAGACCTTTTTAAGTTGTACAATACTGTAGTACATTGTTTTGATCTATCTTGTAGGATTCAGTCAGCGTTTGCAATGTAAGCGCAAAAAATGACGACCTCACATTAGAAACCTCAAAAATTGTAGCCTATGTGTTTATTCTGATGTATAAGCTATAGCCTATGTGTTATTCTGATGTATAAGCTATATTGTGGTAAAGTTTCATTCAAATCCATTCAGTAGTTTTTACGTGAAAGAGTAACAAACATCCATACATCCATACTTACAAACTTTCGCCTTTATAATAGTAGTAGGATTTATAAATAAGTAATATCTAGTAGTACTCATTTGTTTGACCTTTTCACGTTTTTAAGTGTCTTACATTCATGGCGATCCGTAAACTGGATGCGAGCTTGTGGGTGGACGCGTACAGGCGAACTTAGGTACCCTATGCATACACGTATTCATCATTGTTTGCCATGATCTCCACGCTTGGCAGGGGGTTTGGAGATTACAAATACATATTGTTTTATTATGTTCATTTGAATTTGTAGTACATACAAATAAACGTGTTTTCTATTTTAATTTAATAGATTCAGGTTCATCAAAAAGTGCTCCCGCCTAATCTCTGTTCAATGTATTGTCCCCGTTTTTTTAAGAGGCGATAGTTATCCAATGACTTCTCTCGCCTTGGGTGATGCGAGAAGAAGTGTCAGACTCTTACTGACTAAAAAGTATGTTCGGGTGTCATGACACTGGTGTAAAGAACAGGGGGGGGTGATAAATGTAACCTATTATAGGGCCATGCATTCCGTAATTAATTTTACAGTTATAATAGAAAAATATTTCGTTTGTTTGCAGCACTCACATGCAAGACTTGCAGGAGGTGACTCAGGAAGTTCACTACGAGAACTACAGGTCGGAGCGACTCGCCCGCAGCGGACAGGTGCCCAAGCGACACACGTGAGTTATATTTGCAATTTGTTATAGGATAGGGCAGTAAACGAACAGACGGATCGCCTAATGGTGAGCAATCGGGGTCACCCGTAAACACTCGCAATATTATAAGAGTTACAAATGCCTGCAGTTTGGGGTTAGGTATTTTAATGGTGATTTGGGGGATGGATAGACTGGAAGTAACTTTGTTATTCAAAATATAACTTTTTTACACGGCGTAACAATGCAAGTATTAATTCACGCCACGTAATGTCGTGGTGGCCCGGAGGTTTAAGACGTCCGCTTCTTATGCATGAGGGTGCGGGTTTGAAACCTACCAAAAGTATCAATGTGACTTTCCGAGTTACAGGTATGTACTTTCTAAGATTATCTAGATACCACTGACAAACGATAAAGGAAAATCATCGTGAAAAAACCTGGGCGTATAATTTCTAATTATAAGTTTGAAATCGCCAACCCGCAATGATCAAGCGTGGTGATTAATGATCAAACCTTCTCCGTGTGAGAAGAGGCTTTGCTCAGCAGTGAGCATTTATAGGCTGTTGATGTGATGCGATGATGTGATGTTATTTCATACCGGTACCAAAAGTCAAAAGTAGTTATGTCAACTAAACTTTACATTGGTTATTATTAATACAATATTGGTCTTGTTGAACGTAAAACAAACCTCAGAAGTTAAACCGAATATAGCGTATTCGGTTTTACTTTTATTTAAAGTTAATATGTATTTAGCCGGTTTTTAAATGCTGTTTAAGCGGAGATACAAAATAAACGTTACTTATTTTTGAACCTACCATATCTCTTCAGCTTTTTATTCTCATACTCTTATTCTTTCTTATACTTATTTTATTCTTGTACTTCATACTTGTTAGATGGGTAAATACAAACATTTTATAATACTTTATCGATCCCTCTTGCTCTGTAGACGCGCTTCTCCCGCGATCAACGAGACATGACTATGTTCAAATACTCAACTCAAACGCACCTCAATTTTAAGACGCTCTCAAGAATACTTCTGTCGCATCAAACTCTTTGTAAAATGACAGAGATAGCGCGATATTTAAGAACAACTTAATATTGAAAAGCATTTCAATATGCGATATTCTTTCAATGCGTAATTAAGATTGCATTTTTCTTCATACAGTACTCAACTTTTCCACAGATACTTAACAAATGGCATGCATGAATAATAAACTAATTGCTATTAGTAAAAGTATGCAGGGAAAGTGTGCGCAATGATCGGAAAAACGATGTTAATAGATGCAACGTTACTTTTATTACGGCTCATATTCTACTAGCTGCTCGGTTCATGGAATTAAAAAAAAAATTAAAGCCTTCTTCGATAACTAAAATTCGACCCCTGTGCGGTATGATTACTGGACCGATCTATTATTTGTGTCATACAAAAATAGTTTTGCCCTAGACCCGGCAAAACTATGTTTGTGTGATTTGTATGTGAAATTATGTATTTCTAAACGCATTCACGACACAGTATAAAATCTTAACGTGAAGCAATATTTACTGAAAAGGATAGATAAAGCAAACATTATATAAAGGAAACATTGTGAGGGAAATTGGATTTTTAATTTCTAATTATAAGTTTGACCACCCGCCTTGAGCAAGCGCGGTAATTACCGCGAAAGAAGAGGCGTATGCTCAAGCCATAAATAAGTAATAGCACGGAATTTTTCATTTTCGTTGTGTAAATAGAATCATTGTCTCTCCGCGTATTGTTACGTGGGAATCTAAATATATTTATTTACACGGAATATGTGAGGTATGTACCTCATTGCATGTGCAAACAACTTCAAATTGTTCTTGTAATTAGGTTTAATTGGTGGCAAATTATTGATATTTACTAGTTCAATAAACAAGTACTTACATAATTTTCTTGGACGTGAACATTCCATACTCCGTCGACTCAAAATTCCAAATACATCTTGGCACCGATACGAATGTCACTTTTTTCACGAAAATGCATTTTTCAGTAAATAGTCCGAGAATAGCCACAATTTATAAAATGCAAATAAACGACGAAATAAATAAATAATTGAATAAGACATCTGGATTAGGTACTTATGGGATAAATGATCTATGAAAAGACTACACACGAGAAACTACGCGTGTGTCATGTGTCGTCGACGACCTACAATGATTTATGTTAAAATTAAAAATTCGAATTACTTGCACTATTTATTTTAGTGATGTGAATAACGTAATGAAACATTACAATATAGTGATGCTGTACATCACTATATTGTAATGTTTCATTATTTGATCACTACAGATTATTATGTACCATAATAATCTATGGTCGATGATGGAATTAACTCGACTAAATTTTTTCTTTTTTTTTTGTAGTTCGACTGAGAGCGGTTTGAGCGAGGCAGACTCTAACGGTCTTACAAATGGATCCGAAGACCCAAGTGACCGCGAACGTGCGCTGCGTGAAAAGGTATTTTTTTTATTTTAATAACGAAGTTGGTTCCTTGTATTGAGTGACTCCTCCTACAGCGCGGTTTTCATAAGAGCCGACTAAGGGACTACAGATTTATTTATTTAATCTTAATGTAAGTAATGTACGCAATACAAAAAAGTAGTGGTACTTATATAAAATAAACTTAATGGCATATGGCATTCTCTACCAGTCACATTTGTTTTGAGGGGGAAATCATCCAATGATTTCTCCCGCCCGGGTGAGGCGAGAAGGAGTGCCAGACTCTTACTGACTAAAAACCACCCCAGTCCTACTCCTGCACTTTGAGCCGGAGCCCCGGCAACTAGTTAAGTCCTCCGCGGCTCGTATCGGCATTAGCCCTAATGTGCCCCATCTGTGGTGGTCTGATGGCTCTTTAAACGCCGTACGCAGGTCCGTTCTTACGAGGGCCGGAGATCGCGATCCCCGACGCGTGGACTGTTTCTCGCGACGGTTGGGGCGTGAAGAAGTTCGTTCCCTCACGTGCTCCGCCTCATCTTTAGCTAGCATTACCAGTTAACCTTAGGGCTTAAATAGAAAGTTGCAAAAAAAACTACGGAGAATAAAATAACGAAAGGAAGTATAGTAATTCAACGCTCTCTGACAACCCCAATCCTTTTAAACTGCAATCTCAAACCCAATTGCCAAGCGTAGATAGAAGCAATACCGTCTTTTGCAGAGGAGAATTCTAATCCCTATGGGGTGGACTCTCCGGGCTGTTTATGATGATGATCCTCACAAATATTTTCATTCCTTGCAGGAGGCCGAGCTGCGTCGCATGCAGGAGATGTTGGAACAGATGCAGCGACAGATGAACCTGCAGGCTGCCAGCGGCGCCAGTACCACTACTACCGCATAGTGCTTGCGTACCGCACAGGTAAATGCATTTGACACCTCCCCTACTCTTCCTGCTGCACGACTGCTGATTTTTCAGGGTATATGCTGAGTTTAGTTCTAGGACCGCATGGAACAGATAGAGTACAACTATTATGTCGACAATTTGTCATCCCGCACCTTATAAACTCTGAATTACAAGCAGGTTTGCTCGCCAAGCATAAAGTTTTTGGGCAACTCTTATATAAAGTAAATTCCCTTAGTCCAGCAGTTGATTGCATTTCCCACACGCCTATTAGATATTATTATAGACTATAAAATATTTTTACTGTACTAATTTATTATTTCTTCAACAGTTGGACATTAGTACGGCTGTCCAGCTGCCAGCGACGTGTGACCTCGTCAACTCTATACTTCGCGCCATCCCCTACTGCGTTACTTCCAACTAGGTGTAACTGTCGTACAGCCTGTAACGTTCACACAAATATATCGCTCGAAATTTGTAATATTAAGAGTTAAAATTGTATCGTTGAAAAATCGTCTAAATAGACTAGTTTAGCCGTAGTCGCTTTTCCCATCACTATTACAGTGACATCTCGAATACCTTAATATCATCATCATGTCATAATGATGTTCATGTTCGCTTAGCCTTTGTGATCAAAAAATCCGTCATTAATATTAAAATATGTAGTTTACAAATAGCAATATTCACAAAAACTTTGTGTGACCGACGCCATATATTTTTGTGAACATTACAGAGTTAAGTATTATTTACTCAAATATTATTTTCCTTTCATATATTATAGGACGATTATAGGTATATCCATATCTATAGACAATAGAATGTTTTATCTCTCTATACTAGTTGTAAGGTAAATGCAATATTTATACAGTGCAGGTATATAACGTTTTATTTTAAGAAAGTGCACTACACTTTGAAGTAGGCTACGATTAATCGACTAATGTATATTTGAATAGTCGATTGTACGTTCAAGATGCACACGGAGCACTGCAGAATCTCACATTGCTGTCTGTGTTAGGGTGCACTTTATCTTATAATTCTAAGACAATATGCTATCGTTGATATAGAATGAGGTGTTGCAAGCTTAAAGCACAATATTACACGAATCATTTCTGTAAAAACTAGTATTTTTCATTCCAATCTGTAGTGAGAATTGACTTGTCCCACATGAATTCGTAATTGTACTTGTCAAGTAGATCGTATACTAAATAAGATGACGTAACCTATCGATATGTGTTAATTAATTGTTAATGGTAACAATAGGTTGTAAACAGCGGCCTCATAATGTTGATCTGATATGCATTTATTATTATTGTTCTGTGCCATTTCGTTCTATAACATGATTTATATTTAATACGTATTTCTGTCAATTAAGTCACTGCCTATATTTTGGTCGAATATTTATATTATTACGTTGCAATACCAGGAAACATTTTTGGTTTATATAATTATGTTTTTCCTTATAAAGAAGTGAAGACTTCAAATTTTATTCTCATGACAAAAGTATTATTTTACTTTTATGACTGACTTTATATTTTATTTGAGTATTCCATTTTTGTATTGTCAATTTACTCTTTAATGTTAGGAGATTATTACACTGTCCTACTAGGTATGCATGAAAATATATTATTATTTTTAAGGAATTATTGGAATGATTGTATCGAATTGAAGGCTGAATTGCTATTTGGGATGTCTAATTAAATTGAATTATCAAATCCTAACTTTAGTAGGTACTTAAAATTCTTAGTATCTTGTGTAATTAGAATTTATTCCAGCATTGGTGCATTTATTTTGTATTCTAATGATATCTCCTTATTGTAAACTAATTGATGAATCGAACATAAAATGTAATAAATTTTAGAAGTTAAATTGGTGCCAAAGTTTCGAAATGAAAGTCATTTAACTTGAAAAGTAATAGTTTCTGGATTATTTTATTGTGAGTTATCTAGGTACCCGTGTACTTTTATGTAAAAGAAACTTCTATGTAATCATATTTTTATAGTAAATGTAAACGAATCATTATAATGTGTTTTATTTCTATTTTAATATCAATAGTTGAATAAGTTGTTGATTTTGACTCCTATACAAAACCATCAAAAATAAAAATAATAAATTTATTTCCAGTATAAAAAATAAAAATAATAAAGACTGCCTCGCTGGCTGAGTGGTCGCAAGTCCGACTGCCGGGCAAGGGGTCTCGAGTTCGATTCTCGGGTCGGGCAAAGTATAACTGGATTTAAATAAAAATCTCAGTAGGTAGTAGCACGGAGTCTGGAATTGTGCCCGGTATATGGCAATAGATAGGTTCACCCCTTATTACATGGGACTCATAATAAATTAAGTGCCGTAATGTGCACCTCTGCCTACTCCTTTGGAGATTAAAGGCGTGATGTTATGTAAATGAAGAAGTTGTTGGTTCTGTAACTCCTATACAAAACCATCAATAATAACATAAGGCATTTATTACTAAATACTAAAACTAAAAACCGCATGAAAATCGGTTCAGCCATTCACGAAATAATCGCAGACAAATATAATAATTCCATGTCAAACAGAGAACCTACTTTTTAGAGGTCGGTAAAATTATTTTGTTTGAAAGCATGGTGAAATAAGCGGGAGATTACATTTTGGCCGATTTGGAGAGTTTCAGCCACCACGCGCTGTATAGCGCCCGCTTCCAACATGCCTACGTACTCGAATCTGCTCTTTCCTTGTCCAATGTCGACATAACATAACAATAAATGTAACGCGTTGAAATGAGGATAAAGAAAATGTGTAATCGCTTTTAATTTTTCAAAACTTCACTGCTCCCCTTGAAAATCTTCCCCTAAATTTGATCATACAAAACTACAAAAGTAGTCTCTATAATTCAAAATAAGGTCTATAATGTAGATAGTGGAGACCGGTGACCTCTTGGGGATAACATGAACCAAAGAGTATAATAAGTATAGGAGAAACACACTGATATGGAGAAACATGAACTAACTTTTCGACCGCCAAATTAGAACAAACGATTTTTTTTTGTTTCAAAATGAGTTTTTAGTTTTTTATATTTTTTTAATTTCGAAAGAAGTGGTGGAGAAGAAAATATTTTATGTACAAACTTTTTTAAACAATAAATAGTTTTTAAGTTAAGAAGTCTTTCATGCAATATCCCTAGACATTGTTGATGTGTTTATTTTTTGACTATTTTAATATAAATTGCTTTCAGTAAACTAAATAGTTTTCTTTACATAGACCTTTTGTTTTATTTTAGTTGATTTAGTAAGTGATTGCAATCGATTATCATACGAGTGACATTTATAAAAATTTTGACAGGTAACTGCTTTCGTCCGCCATAGTCGTTTGCGAAATTTGTTATCAAACAGCAGGCGAGCAAACTTGTGTTTAGTATTGTAGTGAATAATGGCTATCGTAGAAGACGAAGTGAGAAATGAATCGGAGGAAGAGAGTGAAATAGGTGTGATTTTAGCGGAGGAAGAAGCCGATGCAGGAGACGACCCGGATGACTCCGACATCGAATTGGAAGAAGAAGAAGAAGTATGCACAACCTTACAATCTTAATATATTTGACTCACTATTGGGCCCAATTCATTATTTTACTAAATAATACTGGTTTTAATTAAACAATGAAGTTATTCTGGTTATAGAGACTTATAATTGCACACGGGAAGGCACAAACAGAATCCTTTGTAGCACTTCCAACTGGAACCTTACATGCACAATTTTCCAACTGTTTTTAGTATTTATTTTATTTGCATTGTCTTTGCTACGTATATTATAACTTGTGAATTATTTTCTATCACCTTTCTACATGCTATCAATCTTTTGTGCAGTTTTGTTGTATAAATTAAAAGAAATGACCTTTTTAAAACCTGTACTTATCTATTGCTTTGCGACGCAAGAAAAGACGTCCTGCAATATCAAAATAACGGAGAACTAAATTGTGACAATCTACCTTCAATGTAGAAAACAAGTTTTATAGAAACTACATACTTTTGAATGATAATTTGTGAAACATAACCTATTCTTGGTACCTATTATACTTTTCTTCTTTACATCACAAAACGCAAGATTGCGTAGATATTCTTATTGTTAACATTGGGATAAGACTTATTCCTTTGTTCTTTTCAAAGGAGTGTCATAATAATAGGTTCTATTTTTGTACTCTTTTTTAATTTTAAGTAGGTCACAGACGTGTGTTGAGAACCGATCTCCGGATTGGTTGATGCTCTTGTAATTATTGACTTTCCCACTATTTTATGTAGTGGCTATAAATTTATTCACAGAGCTTGATATAGTAGGTGTCATCGGTTGGGGTAGTAGATAAGTAACTTAAATGTTTAACAAATTTTATACTATAATCTCTAGATCAACCTCCGCTATTAACAAATACTCCATACAAATACATGTCAAACGTTTATTTTAATACAAAGAATTTGATTGGTTTGTTTTCCAGTCTGTATTCTTGGTTTGAATCTTAGTCTGTTAGGTATAATAATTATTTGATATTTCCGGGTTTGGGTTCATTGGTGTGGGCTAAAATCAAAAGGTTATGAATCGTGATTGGGATGATAAGATGTATTTTAAATTAGCATAAAATGTAGATGACATCTATACAAACGAAAAGAGTAATAATTTACTACAAATCACGGGTTTCTCTTGTGAATATACTGAGAAAAGCTCTACTGATTGATTGATTGCTTACCATCAGGTGATCCGTCTGCTCGTTTACCGGCTTGTGCCATAAAAAAAATACTAGTTTCTAGTAATTAATGTATTGATTGTTGTGCCAGAAGGAGTTAATGTGTAAAATTTACTTGGAAACTGTTTTCAGCTGGTTAAGTAAATCAGGACAGTTTCGCACTATAGCAGTTGTGCAGATTTGTAATAGTATATTTTGTTTCTTTGTTCGGTACATTGATTTGATACACTGAATATTGTGGTTTCTGAGAATATAGATTAAGTCTGACTAGTGGTTCTTACTTGAGATTGTTAGTTGTTTGAAAATATAATTATGTAATTTTGTCTAATGAGATAGGTTCTAAAAAATATTGGTACAGCATTGTAGCTACTATTGTAACTATTCCAGTTAAAAATGTTTTTTTTTCCATACTAATCAATCGTAATACTAGCTGTTGCCCGCGACTTTGTCCACATATAACATGGAGATCTGCCAGAATTTAGGCTTTTGAATAAATTCTTAATTTTAAATCAAGGGATATTCTACGGTAATTAATATCGTCAAAATTGATTCTGTCCCGTAGGTCCCGTATGATAATAATATGTAGCCTATATGTTGACCCGACTTGCTAGTAATATAATAATATGTAGCCTATATGTTGACCCGACTTGCTAGTAATATTCATGCAAATTTTGAAGTAAATCCATGCAGTACTTTTTGAGATCATTCCGGAATTAACATATGTGGCACGGATTTCGACGATAAATTAACTATAATGTAGTATTATTACACAGAAGTATAACACGACCAAAGATTTAGAGTTAGACGAAAACCTTAAATTAAAAAAGTGAAATTTTTAAACAAATAAATAATAAAATAGATTCAAGAAAGTATAACACGCTGAGTAAGCAACATACCTTGACCTGAGAATAGCGGCAACGTTGCATACGTTATACAGACAAACAGATAAAAATTCTAAAACCCATATTTTTGGCTTCAGTATCGATTGTAGCTCACACTCCAAGTATTCTTTTGAATGTACAGTATTGCCTTTTCTTCAATTTTATTATATGTATAGAAGATGAACAGCAATCAATAGCTTATCAGCATGGTGCAATTTCTCGACACAATTTAATTTTGAAATCAATTGACTTAATTGTATAATATATTTAACTTTATTTTTTTGCTAGGATGATGATGAAGAATTAATTTTGGAAAAGAGGGTGTTACGATTGGAGAGCTGTATTGAAAAGAATCCTAATAACTACCTCGACCACCTGGACCTCATTCAGACTTTGTGGTAAGTCAGTACAACGTTTTATCCATACTTGCTAATATTATGAAACTGAAGACTTTGTAAATTATTACATTTACAGCTTACTCACGTAATAATTTAACGAGGAACTCGACTAGTTTCAAGCCATGCTACAGGCTCATATTCATGAGTAGCAGTGCGACAGTCCCCGCGTCGCGGTTCGCGAAATGCTGCTCATAAATATAAGCCTCTAGTAAGCCGAAAACATAATAATTTATTTAGTATGTCTCACGAAAGTTACAATACAGACTGAAGACTTTGTTTATTAGAACTTGCTTCTACAGAACTACATGTTTGAAATAAAACATCTTTTTCTGTTGAATCGTCCATATATTGTAGGAAGTTGCACAATCAATAGGACACGAGTTATTCATATTTGTTTTAATATGCAAATAGATGACAATTTGAGCTGACAAACACAACGCAAAGAAAAGAAGATTGAATGAAACATCTTTATAATTTTCTGCATGGCCTGCAAAAACTTACGAAAGTACACTAAATCAACTGTATTGCTAGCAATTTCACATAACGTCACGCCTTTTTTCCTCGAAGTGGTAGGCAGAGGTGCACATTACGGCACTTAATGCCACTGTACAATGTACCACTTTTCACTATTTATGTTATGATTATGAGTCCCATATAATAAGGGGTGAGCCTATTGCCATATACTGGACACATTTCCTGAGTCCGTGCTACTACTGAGATTTTTTTTAAAACCCAGTAATACTTTGCCCGCCCCGGGAATCGAATGGGAGACTCTTTGCCCTGCGGTCGCACTTACGACCTGTCGGGCAATGAGGTAGTCAAGTGTTTAACAATTTTATTAAAATATTAAATATTTGCTAGGGGTCTGTCATCTCTGGAACGTTGGCGAGTGGCGTTTGATAGACTGCAGCAAGTGAGGAAGCTGAAGCCTGAGGACTGGTTGATGCGGCTGCAGACTGAGGTGTCCCTGGCCCACAATGACGAGGCCCGCGAACGCGTCGCCAAACTGTTCCAGGATGCTGCTATAGATTGCTACTGTAAGTACATCAATGTTGACAGAGTTTAAGAATTTACTTAAATTCATATTAGAAAATTCTTGTACTCTTGACTGCATGGTTGGTGCGGTGGCTGGGCAACCGGCTACTGTGCAGCGTGTCGATTCCCGAACAACCCTTTGTGTGATCCAACAAATTGTTGTTTTGGGTCTAAGTGTCACGTGTATGACAAATTGTATGTCTTTAAACGAAAAAAAAATACGTTACTGACGAAACATTGAGGGCGAATGTATTGCTATACACAGGGCACATCCAGGCCATTACACACATTAAAAGGGAATTTTTGTAATTATAACAGCAAGCTTTTTAACAACTAGCAATAAACAGAGGAACACAATAAATGTTGAATCACCATTTTGCCAACAATGAGTTGAGTCCCATATAGTCAGGTCAATCCATTTCTATATTATTATAATTTTTATAAAGCCATCCCGATTCTGAGTGAATGGTGTTCCTGGGCGCTGACTGTGGAGCCGGCTGACAAGGCTCGTGAACAGTTGGAAGAAGTTTTAAGACGCGCTGGTGCTGACCCCTTCTCTGGGAAGATCTTCTGGGATGCCAAATTTGAACTGGAGAAAAATCAGCTGGACAACTTGAGGTTAGTTTAATAATGCTATTGTCAGCTTGAAATTACAAAAATGCTTTTTTTAATGAAATAAGCTGCTAAACGAGCAGGCGGATCACTTGATGGTAAGCAATCGGCGCCGCTTGGGCATCCGTAACACTAGAGGTGTTACAAGTGCGTTACCGGTCTTTTGGGGATTAGGAATTTGACGATTATTGGGGATTCGGGGATTGAGGAAAGTGAGGAGGGGGTAAATGGGTCTCCGGTAATCTCACTTACACGACAAAACACAACTCAAGTGTTGTTTCACGTCAGTTTTCTGTGAGGCTGTGGTATCACTCCGGTCGAGCGAGATGTCAGTCTAAAAAAAGTTATGCATCGGTTTACGGCCTGATGGTAAGCGAGCACCAATGGTATCACAAATGCAATGCATGTTACGTGTATAGTCCATGAGGGACTATTATTAGGCTGTGGACCTCCTCGTCAAAAATTGGTTTGCTACTCTCTACACATGGAGATCATGCATCAGTCGTCGTTTATGCGTTGCATACCATATAGTAAACTGTTTAGGCAGTGTTGGGCATTCGAAACTATAACTTACCATTTATTTTTATTGTAGTGAGGAAGACCCAGAATACAAGGCGCAGAAAGAACGAATGCTCTGGTGCCTGGAGGAGGCGGTGTCCAGACCTCTTCTAAGAGGGGAGGAGGCATTACAGCAGATGGAGGAGATAGCACTCTCCTTGCACAGCCAGGACTATGTTGATAAGGTAGTACTCGTATTTTGCATTACTTTTATTTATAAAATGTGTTATCCTTTGCCTGTGTGAATTAGCTTATACCCTTGTTTATTATACTCTCAACCATACGTATTGATGCATGTACGATTTAAGAGGATCATAATCATAAATATAAATATTTATATTACTTCAAATAAATATTTATATTCACAAGATTAATTCTATATTATGCACTTGTATACTTTTACTTAACTGGAGAAAGTACTTCTAAATCTGTGATTACGAAAAAATCTACAAAACTTGTTCACACAAAAGTAGTCTCTAAACATGGAAAATAAGGTCTGTAATGGAGTGAGTGTAGAGAGGACAATGGTGTCCGCTCAGGGATTTGTATAAAGCGATGCAATGTGTAATTATGTATGTTGTTTTAGGTGAAAAAGCAACACGAATATGCAGTAGAATTCCTTCACAGGATATCTCCGTTTGAAGACCAGTTGCTGACTCTTGAGTAAGTTTACATCATTATACAGTTTTTTTTTAAATTTTAACACTTCGGAAACGGACTGCCAAAATCGGGTCACATGACCACTATGATGCGGTCTACGATGGAGCACGTCGTCCCATAAGCAACCTAATCACTCGGGCCTTGACAACACCCTTCAGAAAATACAGACTCTGGCAAAGAATACACTCCATCACTTTGTCGACATCCATGGACACCTAGAACAGCAGAGGAGTTGACACACGTGTTCCACCGTGGACCGCATTATCGCTTACCACTAGGCGAAATAGTGGACAAACATCGGCCTATCAAATATATAAAAAAAAAGTTGGAAGTGCATTGTTGACCTTTATTTTGGAGAATTCAAGAGAGTAGAGAGTAGTAGTAAAAGAAAGAGATAGAGATAGGGAGCAAGAGAGAGAGAGAGAGAGAGAGAGAGAGAGAGAGAGAGAGATAATGACTCACAATTTTGATATTTAAAATTTTTTGTTTCCAGTTCTCCAAAGGAGAAATCGAAAGTGTACTTGAATTACGTAAAAACTTTGAAGAAACTGGCTTTGAACAAGAGATATGCAGAGTGCGACACCAGTGGGATATTGAGGGTGAGTAGAGTTCTATCATAGACTATGTGTACATATTCTTCTTACAAGAAAGTTATTTTTACATACATACATACATAACTTCACACCTTTCTCCCATGGGGGTAGGCAGATACTACGTCAATTACTACGATTCCTACATTTTTAAAGTTATTTTTATGTATTTCAAATACTATTTTCTATATTTTTATAAGACTATAATACCCGATGATTATTTTATGAATTGGCTTCATTATGTCGATGTAACTTCGTCCTTCCGACTATAGCATCAAGTTATAAGATTGATTAAAAATGTGCTTGTATAGGATGTCATAATACAACTAGTGCAAAGTGAACGTGAACTCTTACTCTTCTAGGGATAAAACATAACATAACATCACGCCTTTTTATCCCCAAAGGGGTAGGCAGAGGTGCACATTTCGGCACTTAATGCCACTGTACAAT